TGATATTGTAAGATGCTGAGCAGCCGAGAAAACTGTTCGATCACCAATGATTTTCTCCAAGAATTCTCACTATTTCTCACTTTACTCCGCGATTTCATCCATATCAGGGCCATATCCCAGCATGCCTTAGATGGCCATGATTTCAGGTCATTTCAGGTCCCAGCACCAGTTGTGTCACCGTCACCCAGCCCCAGCCCAGCCGAGGCGTGCACTTCTTGATCCCTTGGTTCGAGCGCCCGATCATTTTTGACGTGCGTGCCAGACCCCACACCATGTCCGTGGCCTTGGGACGCTGCATGCAGCTGATCCATCAATTTCCTGTCGTTCATCCATCGATTTCCATATGCCAATTGAGGTGAATCCAGTTCAATTCGATGCTAAGGACTTCGCTTACAGGAAGCAGAGATTTGCAGATGGAATCTTGGCTCAAAATTGGGAGATCTGGGTGTGTCAGAGGCTGGTTGACCCTTCAAATTTGCCAAAGTGTCTACGTTAATGGGCAAACCAATGGGTTTGAGCGTTTGGACGTACCCATCGGCAATAGCACACCACCAAAGTATTCAAAGCGGTGCCTCCATCAGACAGAATCTTCTCACAAGTTCCTCCGCAGCCTTTTCCAATACTCCGGACGGTTGCACGTGTGGCTTCTGCTCAAATGTCATGGCAAGGGCCACCCAGGGCCACCCATGGCCCCAGATTCTGGACCTCTGGGATTATCCCAGCATATCCCAGCCACCGGCAGGTGAACATCTCGTTAAGAGCTCTCTGCAAGTGGCTGGCCCCAGGTCATCCCCTAGCGGGAAGCGGTCAGGCATGGGAACCAGGGATGGGATGACAGGAATTGGCGATTTTCTGAGTCCAAAAAGTTCCGTTTCCACTTGAATTTCTGGTGGAACAACAGAATGGACCAGGCCCCAGTGTTTCTCAGTCATAAAAGTTGATTCTCATAACTGATGATTTTCATAAATAAGCTCATCCATTTTAGAGGTTACGGACCACTTGCAATTCCTGCGATGACACTGACTTTTCAAGGCCTGATGCCGCGAAGCTTCCAGAAATCTATAGGATGGGGCCATGGGGTGATGGCGGTACACCCGGGAGAAGGATGAGGGATATGTGCTATGGTCAGAAGTTTGCTTTTTGATTCTTTTTGTCCATATTGGGGGATGGTCATCAATTAGGATCTATTAGGGATTTTCATGCCCAAGTACCCATTCATAGGGATTTCCCACTGAATGATACTGGGATGACCATGGGATGACCAAACCCTATGCATTGCACACATATGCACATATGGGTTGTGTTGTGGAAAAATGTCGTAAAGGAAGGGTCGCTTCCAATTGATCCAATGTCTCGACACATGGCGATTCTCAGAGGCAACCCTCACTGGTGGTGTAGGTAGACAGCGTCGAGTGTGGTGTTGCATTTGTTTTTGCCTCACCCAGTTCCTTATTCAAATCTCTTCCAAACAGGCTAATTTGGCTCAAGAACAAACAAGTGGTATCACACACGGGCATCAATTTATGGCAAGCAACCGGTTTGATAGACAGCGGCGGATTTTGTGTGAGTTGTATGATTGAGCCATCCCATTCCGAGATATCCAATTTCGATGGGCGTGTCAGAAAATGGCATATATATAATATATATATACACCTCCAAAATGCCAATGCTATTTGTATATTATCAAAGGAAGTTGGGAAGTCTTCCGAGTTACGGACAAATACATTTGCGTGACTTTGTGAAGTGGGTTGACTTAGGGAAGTGCTGACTTAGAGAAGTAGTGACTTGGAGAAGTGGTGACTTAGTGAAGTGGGTGACTTGGAGAAGTGGTGACTTAGCGAAGTGGATTGACTTAGAGAAGTCTTGACTTAGGGAAGTGATGACCGAGGGAACTGAGGGAAGTGTTGACTTGAAGAAGTGGTGGCTGCGTGAAGTGGGTTGACTTAGGGAAGTCTTTGCAACTTCTGTCCCGCCTCGTGCAGGTCTAAACATAGGGAATATTATTCCTTAGCCAGTAGATTTAGGAGTACCCTATCTCGAAACAAACCCCTATTTTGACTGCATTCTTTTTTGTGTTGCCCGAATCGCTTTTCAGCATTAGGACGCTCGGATTAGACTTTGACGAGAAAGTCTTGCCATCCATCATCAACGAGGCCCCAACAGTAGTTTAAACGGAGGGTAGAATTTAGGACCTCCAACACTTGCTGTTTGTAGGGAATGAAGCTCTTAGGTTTTTAATGGTTTTTAGAATTTTCCAAGATTTTCGATGATTTGGGGGATTGAAATACCCGATGGAAATTCGGGCATCGGGATGTACGGAATGGGTTTGGAATCCCTTTAGATGGTTGGTCTCCAGATGGTTCCGTACTCGGTTTAAATGGCCGTATCGCAAGGTGTTGATGGTTCTGTTCAACGGTTTTCATCGGTTTTCCCCGCCTGCCAGGTCCAGGTGAAGGGTCTCTAGATTTTATCAGTGCTGCATGCCGCCCGCCTCCTCCACCTCCGCCTCCTCGAACTCCTCAAACGCGAGCTCCAGATCACAGTGGGCACTGCCGGATCTCAACTGCTAGCTGCCAAACTTCAAACCGTGAGCGCAATGGGCACTGCCGGACATCAACCGCGAGCTCCAGAGCTCTGCGGGGATTGCCGGACCTCAACGGCGAGCTCCAGAGCTCAGTGGGCGCTGCTGGACCTCAACCCCCAGCTCCAGATCTCAGTGGGCAATGCCAGACCTCAACCCCGAGCTCCAGATCTCAGTGGGTACTGCCGGACCTCAACCGGGAGCGCCAGAAGGTGAGCGCCAGAGGTCAAACAGAATGCCACAAAGAATGCCAGATAGAATGTCACCATATGTCAGAATATGTGTCAGATAGAATATCAGTTGGCAGGGACCACTTGAAGAAAGTAATAGGTGGTGAACTTACAGAATATCCACGATGAAGAGCTTAACTGATGACTGTTGAGTAATCATTTCTGCGCATTTCCATTTTGAAAAAACAATCCCATCTGTAAATGGGGTGAATTAAGAGAACATCTCCAGGAAACCTTGGTTTTCTCATGTTTTCTCGCGATGGTGATTCCCGCAGCAATTACCCTTCAACCGTTGACGAAGTCAGTCGTCATTCGCATCACAATTGTGGTGAGGTTCTGAAGAGTGTCGTGGCGCAGTACAATGCTTCGCAGCTCATCACCCAGCCCCTCGGTGGCAGTTGGAACCTACCGTAGGACTCGGACCTGGTGAAATTTGTCCGTTTTGGTTTTGGGATTGACGAGTTTCAAAAATAATGAGGATTATATCATGAGGGTTATGATAGATGAGAAGACCAACAGAACTGCAGCATTTGATGTTTTTTTCAAGTCAACGCTATTCGGGGGCACGTTGGTGCGTCTCTCAAAACCAAGGCCATCCTGAATCCAGATCTTTTGGTTTCCTAATAGCCTGCAAAAAGTCAGGAAACAGAAACACATGGGTTTCAATCCAAGTGTAGCATAGTGAAAAAGCATGAGCCATGTCACTATGTGTATAATGCACACCCAGGAATAGTTATTATCATCCCCTTGTGGTGGGTTCAACGTTTGGGTCCAGCTGACCCACTTGACAATCCCCTGGCCTTGCACCAGGCGTGAACTTGTCAGTAGGATGCGTGGGCCCTAGCACTGGGGGTTTTGCCAACAGGGAGGGGTGTAACCCTCTGGTAGGGTAAGATGGGCATGGGTCAAGCTTAGGGAACTTGAGAGACATTTAGGGACCACTGATTTCAGTCATTTTTTGTTTTGTCAATCTAATTCTAGGAGGTACTTACTTTGACCCATAGACAGATGGCAATAGAAATAGAGACATGGTTTCAACAAAGACATCATGTGCCAGGTTCAAGTACTAGTTGGTGCAGTTGCAAAGAAACCAAAACTATTCAAACACCAAAGATATTGGCTGGCTAGGGTCTAAAGGCCTAACAAGTCCATAGAGTTCCAAGGGGTTTTATTTTTTGGATCCATGCCCACTTGCTGCTGCTTGGTGGCTGGCGATCCACCGAGGATCAGACAAAGACTCATTCAGCGAGCGGCCGAGTTTGGAATGCTCCTAGCGCAGCTGGCGCCAGTTTTGTGCAACGGAAATGGTCGTAGAGGTCAATAGCAAATAAACTCAACATTGAGTGGATGAACATCTTAATATGGGTGTGTCTGAAAATAGGGGGGATTAATCCCAAAATATCCCGCAACTATATGGCCTTTAAACAATAGGACAAGTCAGAATGATCCAATGGATGCGGCCACCCCATTTATCTTCATTTTCAGACAAATTTTGAGGCAAACCGACATAGACCGTTCATGACCGTTCTGTTCATTTTGGGATGTTCACCAGGGTATTCAATAGGGTTTGTTTCATTCCGAAATCTTCCCTTTCAATCCCACTTCAGGATGACCCTGATGAAAAACTCGCCAGATTTGGCGATGTCACGACAGGATGACGTGGCCATCACTCACCTGAACTTTAGCCCAGAATACGAGAAGGCGAATGGGTCAAAGCTGCTGACCTTTTTGGATCTTTTTGGTGGTTGAAAAGAGGAGAATTGCAGGACATCCAGCAACAGCAATCCAACAGTAATCTCTCCAAATTTGGTATAGCATGGCGTATAGCACGGTGCACCAACAGAGAATTACTTTATGCATTTTGATATATCTTGATGCTTTTTCACGTACATGTTCCATCGCGTCTTGATTCCAAAACCAACTGGTTATAGGTCTTTGTTGAAGTCTCAAGGTCGAATTTCCAGGTGGGCACTCTGCAATGGCTCAAGCTTGACAGCTGAGGCTTAGTTGGAACCAAAGACTCCTGACACCATAGATGCCATAGCTGGAAGGAGAATCAATGCAAGATAATATTCTCAATGATGCCTAGTCAACTTCATATGACTTCTGGATTGATGGATATTAAATGGCATCAACAGTTACATAACACCTTAACACTGTTTCAATCATGATTCACATTCAAGTGTCGTTCGCTCAAGTTGATCCTGCCATGGCGCCACGAGACAAGGAACGACGGAGCGGAAACCCTAAGAGCTCGGTGAAGCAGCAGCCAAAGACGCTGTGGCTGGAGATTTCACCAATGGGGGTGCAGTAATCATTGTGGGTAATCCCTTCCCTCTGACAATATATATATATATATATATATTATATGTCTATATATATATATATGTGTATATATATGTCTATATTATATATATATGTACCAGTAGTACCGCACAAGGCAGTGGCGGAAGTTTCAAAGATAGGAAACTATAGGAGAGGTGAGTGGTTGTGATGCATGGATGGCAGAGCGAATCCACTGATGGAACGAAACGAGGTTCGATTTGTGCTTTTTGGAGTGGTTGCAGTGGTCACCTCACCCACAACTGCTGAATATAGTGTGGTGTGGTGTGGTGTAGTTTGTAGTTGTACTTGCAGTTGTAGTTTTAGCTGTAGTTGTAGTGTAGTGGTAGTTGTAGTGTAGTTGTAGTGTAGTGGTAGCTGTAGCTGTAGTGTTTGTAGCTGTAGTTGTAGTGTTGTTCAGTGTAGTTGCAGTTGCACTTGTAGTTGTGGTTGTAGAGTAGTGTAGTTTAGTGGTAGTTGTAGTTGTGGTTGTAGTTGTAGTTGTAGCCGTGCTGGAAATGGTAATTGTAGTGTAGTGTTGTGGTAGTTGTAGTTGTAGTTGTAGGTATGTGTAGGTGAAGTTGAAGCTGAAATTGAAGTTCTAGTTGTAGTTGTAGCTGTGGTGGTAGTGGTAGTTGTAGCTGTAGTGTGGTCGAAGTGGAGGTTAGAGTTGATGAAGTTGTAGTGGAGTGGTAGTTGTAGTTGTAGTGTAGCGTATTGTAGTTGTAGTTCATCTATCTATCTATCTATCTATCTTTCTATCTATCTATCTATCTATCTACCTATCTTGAAAACGAAGCAATTCTGCGAGACCCCTTCAATGTTCGAAGTTGACACCGTCAAAAACGAAGCAAGTCTGCGAGACTTCCTCAATGTTCGAATTTGACAGCGTCAACAACGAAGCAATTCTGCGAGACTTCCTCAATTTTCGAACTTGAGAACGTGAAAAACGAAGCAATTCTGCGAGACTTAATTCAAAAATGGACAGTTGAGTGCAGAGCTGGCGGCCTCGTACGAATGCGTTTTGGTATTTTTCCACTCCATCTGTCTAAAGTACTGCGCATGCAACGCAAAAAGTCATGCCAGGTCATACGAAGTGCTGCACCGGTGATGCAAAATCACCTTAGCAAACCTGGAGATCTGATGCTCCAGAATGCACCCGGCTCTTAGGAAATCAGCGCCCTGACCTCCTAACATCTCTGATGTCTCTTGTACTGCGCCTGCCATGCGACATGCATCTTTCCGGATCCTCTTCAAATGTCCCGCGCCTGCCAATGCTTTTGAAACTGCTACAAAACCCTCACGTCTTGCTCATTCTTGGCAAGGTGCAGAATCCCTTGCGCCTGCCACGCCACGTCTGAACCAAGAGTGGTCCGAGCATGTGGTGTTTTGCACATTTTGACTTTGAAATGTGCTTCGCGCCAGAACAGCGTGCACCTCTTCGACATCTCAAAACTTCCAAAAGTGGTCCGAACTGAACGTGAGGTGTTTTCTATATTTTGACTTCCAAAGGTGCTTCGCGCCAGAGCCGCGTGCAATTTTTCATCTTTCATCTAGCCAGATGGCTCCGCACCCGCTGCTTTAGCGAGCCTACTTTTCGACCTTCCGGAGTCACAAATCATCGGCAACACCATCCCTTTTCACCCATTGGATCGGGCCATGCCACTACCATCATCAGGAAGTCTGGTGCTGGAGGGAAGTTCACCATGGGCAAGGTGCTCCGGGATCACCTGCTGCATCCTGCTGCGATCACCACCGCCATCGAAAACTGCAGGATTGAATATGGTGAAAAAAAAATCCAGGCAAAGTTGGGCAATTAGTAAATGACACTTGCAACCATATGCATCCATGAATCCATATATTTTGTGTCCGTCTATCATTTGATTTCATTGACAAAATAAATTCATAATTTCATACTGAAGGTAACCATGACTAGTCAAAATGAGGACAAAGAATGAAGACAGCACCGTATTTTGACTGTCTAATAAAGATGAATCTGTGAATAGCTGTGATGCATGTATCAGGCAGGTGACGAATGGCAAGGCTATGATCCGGAGGACCTTGTCATGTGCACGCAATGAGATCAGTTTTTGCCATCCAGAAAACCACAGATGTTGTTCGTTTTCAGCACTAAACCATCCATTTTTTGCATTAACAAAGTTTGGCCCACACCCGGATTGATCGTCTTATTGGTTATCTCCGAAATTTCCTGCTGTTATTTGTTGACAAGAAACCTTTGGAAGCTGGAAAAATGGGTTGCGTCCAGGTGCGAGTTACTACAGCCTGCCGCGGTGGGTGAAAACATGTCTCTTTCCATCCCATCCAATCTAATCCCATCTAATCCAATCTACAGTAATCCAATCCCATCCCAACCAATCCCATGACTCAGTGGCCCTGTCCCGGTGCGATCTCTGCCCCATCCAGGAGAGGCGCATCGATCCGGAGGATGGCTTCGCATACACCTGGGATGAACTCGTGGAGCCTGGGACCGGTATTTTGGGCATGGTATTGAGTGGTATAGACCACCAAGCAACTTATCACCAGTGAATTTTGGACAATTTTGGTAGGTTTTTACGTAATTGCCCGAATTTATATATTAATCATGATTATATCATGATTTATTGACTGAGCTTGAGCAAAACTGTGTGTCCAAAGAACATTGCTTACAAAATCATGGACACTACGTTCATCAACCAATCAAGAGGTTTAGGGCAGTTTGGGGGGCTACCCCCCATTCTTGGATACTGTATACCCCCGTGTCGAATTGAGCTGAAGATGGACCCTTTGCGCAACTTCATTTTTTGCTTGGCCGAGTGGCACTTGGGTGGTGGGTGCCCACCTCAGTTTTTACACCCAATATGCACCCAATAACATAAATAAGGCCATAAGGCCTTTGCTGGAGCTGACTTGCTGATACTCAGGACTTCTACAAGGGAAAATACAAGAAGAAGGAGTTGGAGGCAAGCAGCAACAACAACAACAACAACAACCACAACAACAACCACAACCACAACCACAACCACCACAACAACCGCAACAACCGCAACAACCGCAACAACCGCAACAACCGCCACAACCGCCACAACCGCTTCCACAACCGCCACAACCGCCACAACCGCCACAACCGCCACAACTGCCACAACCGCCACAACCACCACAACCACCACAACCACCACAACCACCACAACCACATCTACAACCACAACCGGCTACCCTAAGTCGGTCGAAACATGTTTGCGTGGTTGTAGTTGGATCATAGTTGGATCATGTTTCAATGCGGCAACTCGGGAACCATGTGCCCCAAGGAGTTGCGAGGTACCCAGCAATTTTGATGATAGGGCCGGGCTCGCCAAATCTATTTGCAGGCCTACTGGGAATATGAATGCACTCCAAAGACAAGAGGAAAACCAAAGGTACTTGGCCTGCATATTATGCCGCTATGCCTGCCCTGGAAGATCCTGGAAGCCTCTCTTTCAGTTGGAAGTGGTGCAGCTGCCCTGAGAAGCCATTTCTTTGGTTGTGCAGTTATATAGTTATATATATATATACGTGTGTATATATATATATATTTAAATAGTGAAATGGGTGTCACACTTTTCTTCTGTGTATCTTATTCTGACCCAAAACTGGATCGGAATGATCATTCATGGTCATCACTGTTGGTTTCTGACAGGTTCTCGCTTTGAAACCCTTAACGTACACAAACATCCCATAAACATCCATAAACATCCATAAACGATCATAAACGTACCTAAACGTACCTAAACAGTGGTTGGCATGGTTGGCTCCTTGTTTTTCTCCCCCGGTAACCAGCCCAGCGTCTCCAGGTAGCCAAGCCAGAGCCCAAGGCCAAGGCCAAGGCCAAAGCGAAGGCCAAAGCGGAGGCCAAGGCGCCTAAGGCGGTGGAGCCAAAGGCCAAGGTGGGGATGCGGATTCCCGTTTTCAACCATCTTTGTATAGTGCTTTTAAGATGACAATATATGAATCTATAGTCTATATCTATATATACATACATACATGCATACAATATGAATATATATATATATATACAAACAAACAAACAAACATACATACATCCATACATCCATACATCCATACAGCCATACATCCATACATCCATCCATCCATACATCTATACATCCATACATCCATACATACATACATCCATACATACACACATACACACATACACACATACAAATCCATATACATATAAATATACATATACATATACATGTACATATACATGTACATATACATTTACACATACATACATACATACATACATACATACATACATACATACATACATACATACATACATACATACATACATACATACATACATACATACAGACATACATACATACATACATACATACATACATACATACATACATACATACATACATATCATACATACATACATACATACATACATACATACATACATACATACATACATACATACATACATACATACATACATACATACATACATACATACACACATACACATACACATACACATATACATATACATATACATATACATATACAGATACACATGCACATGCATATGCATATGCATATGCATATGCATATATAATATACATATTTTTACACGATGTCACTATCAAACATGATGCTGGTGATTTTATAATTGACAATAATTGATCCATGATGACAATTTCAAAATGATGTATAATATGATTGATAGATGATGATGGTTAGGGGATGATCATGGCAGGTGAAGGCCAAGGCAAAGGCCAAGGCGCCCAAAGAAATTGACCCCGAGAAGGATGAGAAATTGGCCAAGGCGAGGGATATACCATGTATATAAAGGTACATATGTATAATAGATGTACCAACAGGAGTCTAAAACATGTACTCCAATATTTTTCAGTTTCCCTTTCTTTCCAGTTTTTCACATATGTTCCATTCCAAGCTGCCATGCCAAAATTCAATTCTGTAGAGAGCTCCAGAATGGCAGACATTGAGCATTTTTAAAGCAGCTGACTATCTCAAAATTCATCAAAATTCGATGAAATTTTGCCAAAGTGCCATGTTGGTCATAAGAAATTCGTCGCCAGGTTTCCTCTCAGTAGCCATATGTAGCCATGTTGATCATGTTGGTCTTGGTGGCTCCAGAGGCCATTGCAGAGGTGATTCCTTATTTCCCCTTCAAGAAGTTGGAAAAGCGACCCGACACGGATGCTGGTGGGCAATGTGGGCATGTTTCGAAAAGGAGCGGATGCTGCAAGAACCAACAAGAACCGACACAGCTACAGTAAATATATAAGCATATATAAGCCACATGTGAATACATGTGAAATGATGTCTATATATGGAGGAACACAAGATAAAACAACAAGACCTGAGTCCTTACGCCCAGGTTTTATGATATCCAGGGCTTATTGCACCATCCCAAGCTGTTGAATGCCATGTGTGCAGGCCAGTGGCGTTTGCAAGTCGGAGAGTAGGGGTATGGATGCGGGACAAGCATGGACAAGGGATGAAAAAAACGATGAAAAAACGATGAAAAATAAGAAGACTTTCCCAGCATCTTATAGATTGTAGATAAGCTTGGACCATCCTACAAGTCCAATTAAGTGTGGATTACGGCAACAATTTTGAATCTGAACAGATCTGAACGTTTTCCCGTATCGTTTCTCTGTAGCTGTCAAAACATCAACATCAGCTGCCATCCACTGGCCCATTGATGGCAGTTATGGCAAGACGCTTTCGGAAGATGAAGGTCACCAAAATCTGTGGCTTTGAGGCAGGCATCATGGGTGATGATTGTATGGTTTTCTGGAGGACGGGCTGTCGGGGGTGCAGTTGGCCAGGCGCGAGGTTTCCTCTTCACCCCGGTGGCACTGAAGTTGGGAGTTCCCTTCATCATGTTACGCAAGGCGCTGATGGTTGACAGCCAGGCTGAAGATTAAGCCTCCATTGAGGGTTTAAGATGGTTTAAGAATTGTTTAAGAACTTGGAGATCAGGTAAAAGAGATCGTTTATGATATTTATGCTTGTTTGGGGATTGGGACTGTGGATTCTTTAAAACCAGATCCGCATAGATTCTCATACTGTATCTAGATTCTCACGGTCGTTGGATTCCTGAATATTGACTATCAAACTGGTCAAAGTGACAGACTGTTGGTAAAGCTATTATAATCCACCCATATTTTGACGATTTTTCATGCTTTATAGTTTTATAGGACCCATTTATTGGTAATTATTATTGATTTATAGGACCCATTTATAGTTTATAGGACGATTTTTTATGTTTATAGGACCCAATAATATTATTGATTTACCAACATTCATCCAGTAAGTGTTTCCGGTGATGCTTCCAGGCTGGGAAGATGCCGAACACCATCTCCAGTGGACCTTACACCAAGGACAGAAACATTGAGTGGCTGCTATTGAGCCCTTGTTGATTGATATGATATGGATTGATATGGGCTCATTGTATCCTTTAATCCTATATATAATCTTGCTATACTGTGATTATATGTGATTATTGGGGATTCTTTCAATCACAATCCGTGAACATCCATCGGAAATCCATCACCAATGGACCTTTTTTGATCCATTTGGTTGTCCCAAGGCTCCCATTGTGGGCCAATGGTGACTGTAATGGTGACTGTCAGATGCAAAACGCACGGGCGTTTTGAATCTGTTCGTGATGAGGACTCTACTATCTTTACTCTTATAGTTCTTACATTGTCACAGTTACAAAGGCAAAACCATGCAAAACCCATGGGATGGAAACTGATGCGGATACAGCGCATAGATCGCAACTTTGACTTCTCCTTTTGACAGGAGTATGAGGGAGTGGATGAAATTTGTGTGCAAAAGGCCGGCCGCTTTCTGCAGATGCTGCAAGATTCGTAAGGAGCTGAAAAATATGGCAATGATGTGCATTCCAAGGATTGCTCTATGATTGCTCTATGAGAACATTTTCGGACCCCCTTCTATAAATGGAGACTCCCTACATGCCCGACATGGAGTGTTCCTTCCATCTGCCCCAAGTTCCGGCCCCAGCTTTCGCGGACGTCGGCTGGCAGGGCGCAATCGTGAAGGAAGATAAAGTGGTATTGATTGATGATTTGGTGGCTACAGGAACCTCTCCTTAGGCATCCTTGGGCCATTGGGGCGGAGCCCATCAGATTTCTCAAAGTTGTTCCAACATGTTCCAACCATCTACTAGACGATTAATATAATATAATGTAATATAATATAATGTAATATAATATAATGTAATATAATATAATATAATATGATATAATATATTATATATATATGTAATCAACATATATCAGCATCAATCAACGATTCAATTTACATTCTTCGATTTACCATTGGATCCATTGGAAATGGTCCATAAAAACAGTACATCAACCATTCCCATCATTTCTCAGCCGTTCACGGATTCCTTGGTTTGCCCCACCTTGGGGCCCGGCCTTGCCGGACAGGAGGCACGCTGTGTGCGGGGATCAAGTTGATGGAGGCTTGCGAGGCGGACGGGTCACTCTATCGTTCATCGTTCCGGCAGCCGAAAAACCAGAAATAGATTGGATTTTATGGAATATGAGAGGAATTCCATGGGATACTGATGGGATATTTTTGAGGAATTATTTGAGGAATGAATGGGATACACTAACCAGCGATCTGATATTTAAGTTTGTCATGCTTTGTCTGAAAATGGGGTGTAAACCGTCTCATATGATTATTAGAATATTATTTGAATGATATGTTTTCAATGAAATTTGTGACGCACCAGCAACTTTGGGGGTACCTTATTTTCAGACAAACCCCAATGGTGGTTTCCCTGTGGTGGTGAAGAATCCCTAGATAACAAATGGCGGTTTAGGGAAACTACCATTCATGTCTGGTTGTTCAAGGTCCAAATTGGTATATGTGGATGTGGTATCAACGATCCAGTTTTAGGGGTAATTATATACCTGTTTTGGCGATTTTGGGTATCATCCATTTTTACGGTTCCAATAATTTTGAACCATTTCCAGATCTAAAAACAACAAACCTGTTAACTGTACCATGTTTGGGGGTATGAAGATCCGGGTACCAGGCATTTTATCCGTAGCAGAATGCAGGTGTTTCCCAAAATAGGGGCGGGCCCCAAAACCAGGTCCCCATTTCAATCACTCCCCATTTGGTTTTGTCCATAATGGATCATAATGAATCAAAATAGGGGATACCCCAATCCATTGTAGGTATTTTTTTAAAATCTATATACCTAGTTCCCCCCACAAACGTATCTGGTGTGTTGGGAGCCACCTTGTAGTTGCTGCTTCTATCTTCCTTTTTTTGGAGCTATTAAACAATGAGGAAAAAAATATATCAATCCAACATCAATCCAAATATGTGTATATATGTGTATATTTCTATATCAATTCCCAATTTGATATATGGGATATACCTATAGAATGTTTGGTGATGCCAGTTTCCTCATATCAATCCAAAAAAATCCAGGATCCATTTGGTGGAGTTTCTAGACAACTTGTTGTAAGAAGTGCAAATATGTAGGTACGAGGCACAGTTAAAATCGGCCTTGAGACTGCAGATTTTGGTCATGGTGCAGGCCACAGTCGTGGAATGCGCTTGCATGGTGGAATTGAAGGCAACAAGATCAAGGGAGCCAAATCAATCCTTCCAATGTGGCATTGGGGTTAAGCACTTGGGGTCTTTGTTGCGGGGTCGACATGGACATAGCTTGAAAGTACTGGAATTTGGGATATTTCTGGATTGGTTTGCGGTTTCAGTCGACCCACTATTGGGTCACATTGCTTGACGCATTTGGATGATGATTCAACTCTAGGCAAGCATACCGTGGGTGTACTCCTCCGCAACATGTCACTTCCTGAGGTCTGGCAACTGAACATGAAAGGTAACTTGTGAGGATTTGTATATGAGATTCTATGAGAATATGGCACAGAGTTCCCAATGTTTCCATCACGTTTTGAAAAGCACCTTGCTGCATTGGATTTACAGATCCACCTTCCATAGGCACTGTGTGGTCGTGCAGGGTCTATCATCCAGGATGTTGGCTAAGTCAGATTGATCTGCTCTGGATTCAGGCTGGTTGTTCGCTGGTTGAAACCAGCCCCAGGGGCCCCATGGTTTCATTGCAAGGTAGCTGGTAGAGACTGGTACAGTGTTTGGTGGGCCTCAAAGCGACAGGCTTTGAATGGGCGAGAGAAGTGTTTGAAGGCTGGAGCTGAATCTGTGCCAGACACTCAGTCGGACTCAGTCGGCCCGCATCAACAAAAAAAGAGGTTCACCAAGACAGTTTCTGGGACTGCAACAAACCAGAGAATATGAAGTTCTGGGTTGGCTCCAGAAAAAGGCCTACAAGAGACGGATTTTCAAAGCTAAAGATGGGATTTTCCCTCTGTAGATCTTCCCCTCAACCAAGTTTCAGTTGGTTGCCTTCTTTTTTGGGGGGGATCATGCCGCAGTTGCAAAGGTGGGGCTTCATTTCAGAGGTGGGCCGCGCAATCGATAGACAGAACATTACAGAACTATTTTCAGACATGGATGTCCAAAAATCAAAAAATTGATCGTTATCAGTGGATGTTAGGACAACCCTTTTTCAGACAAACTACTGGTATGGCAAACTCAAATAAGAAATGCTTATCTGCGAAGGCGTATGGTACAGTAAAGTTTCATCTGTAGGTTAATTTAGCTGGGACATCATGCACAATGTTTGATCAGGGCCGGGGGATTCCATTTGTTTGATCATGAACCAGTGCCAACTGGTAGAGTAGAATTCCTCCCAACCTCATCCATTCGCTTCGAGGACCTGTTGAACACCAAAGCGGAACTTCCAGACGACTACAAAGACGATGGTCAGAAGTGAATGCTTTGACACTTGTGAGATGCAACTGTTCCGAAAAGGAACTCTGACTCAGGTTGGTGGTTTCGGATTTGTTTTTAGCATATCTGGCAGTTTTGTTGCTTTGCCTAGCATCGCAAGTCTTGGACAGATCCGATCGACTTTGCTAAGTTGAGATGATTCCAAGATGTTTTGCCACCACGAACCTGAAGTGGATGTTTCAAACACCATTAAGAACCCCAAGAAACTGGACGGCCATTTGAAGGGCTTTACCCACTGACACTTTGCTGGAGCTGCGGGTGCTAAAGGAACACGGCCTTGTGGAATCCATTGGAATCCCCATCTCCAATTAGCATTGACCAGCTATTTAGCATTCGGAGATAGCTTCTGGGATGCCAATGCCTGATGTTGCTGTGATCGAAAACTGGCGCTGGCCTTGCACTTGAGCATGTAAACATATGTAAACTGTTGCAGATGCAGCAAACTGAAACTTAACCATTCAGTGACCACAATCATTTAGTGATTGCAGACCCTCCCACTTGATTGCCAGGTTGGATTCCCAGAGAGTGCATCTCCAGTTTTTGTTGCTCAACATGTGAACCTCGCATTCTTGATGATTAAACCTCCATATTTGACAGTTATATAAACTTAACCCCCCCTGGGTTTGATAGTAACACCTGCAAATTTGATACTTCAACCATGTCAAAGCTTCATTTTCGGATAAGATCTTCGCCAGGCCGTTGAGCAGAAGCAGGTGGCCCAACAGCAGGCTGAACGCGCCAGGTATTTGGTTTTGAAGGCGCCGAACATTGCCGGTGCTGCGGGCAGAGACGGCCCCCTACAGTATTTGGGGCTTTTGATGTTGGGGATATCTTTCAATTATCTGCAGATATCATATGGTATGATATGATATGGTATGATATGATATGGTATGATATGATATGGTATGATATGATATGGTATGATATATTACATGAATATCTTGATGATTACAGTTGATTCTGTCTTATTTTATCTTATTCACTGATTGTGATGAAGATTTTATGGGCTTATGAAGACTTAGCTATACCATCCTATACCGAAATACGTTTGACTTATCACTGATCAGCGTTGTCAACGAGTCGAGTGGCAGGCTCAGGAAGAAAAGAAAAGAACCATCATCTATGCAGAGGGCGAAAAAGAGTCAGGTTCTTGGCAAAGACCTTCAGGAGAAAAAATATGTTTGACCATCCGTTCTTTTTGGAGGGAGAGACTTGCCTGTGGGTAAACGTATTTACTTTCCTGGGGTGAAGAAAAAATGTTCACCCGTTTTGAACATCCAATTCCGGTTGATCCTTCAATTGATTTGTTTTGCCATGTTTATGTGGATGTTGGATTATGTTTCACCACACAGGTTGAGTATGTTTCCGCTGTATACTTCTTGTGGCTGCGGTTGCTGTTTGCCGACTAGACAGCAAACTTGATGGCTCAAGGTGCACAGCACCTGCAATAGCACTGGCACTGAGGTGTCTTAAACTAATATCTAATCATGTGCCAACATACAAGGTGGTGCCCCCTAGATAGCTAAGTTGGTTTACAACTCCAATAACTATGGTTTATAGGCTTAGGTGATATATCTATAGTTAATGAGATTATAAACCAACTTATAACTGGGGGGCACCACCTTGTATGCCAACACGGTTCCAGTTCCGGAAGGTTCCGGTGCAGAAACCTTGTGAGGTTCCGGAGGGTTTGGGCGGAGAAGATGCTTGGTGAGGTTCCGGAGGGTTCCGGTGCAGAAACCTTGTGAGGTTCCGGAGGGTTTGGGCGGAGAAGATGCTTGGTGAGGTTCCGGAGGGTTCCGGTGCAGATACCTTGTGAGGTTCCGGAGGGTTTCGGCGGAGAAGATGCTTGGTGAGGTTCCGGAGGGTTCCGGTGCAGATACCTTGTGAGGTTCCGGAGGGTTCTGGTGCAGATGCTTTGTGAAATTCCAAAGGGTTCCGATGTTTTTTACGGCATAAGCATTTAGTTTTTATGGCATAAGCGCTCAAGTTTTATGGCATAAGCACTTTTTATGGCAAAAATGCAGAAGCTTTCAAACTGTTGGGGATAGCACCTGAATTTATTTTAAACACCAACACCCTTATAAAATCATGATCCCTTTTCAATCTGTTTAGATTGACCTAGTATACGAAGAAAAATATTACCAGCAGAAACTGAGAAAAACATACCCGGAAAAAATCCTTTGCTATTTGTCTTGTCTTATAAAATGCTCTGGAGATTGATCTATACATCTTATAAAATGCGTCCTTCTGCAAATTCCTCCTGAACAAAAAAACGGTTATTAAATGACAATTTGTAGGTAAGACATCACCACCCTTTTCGTGGGGTGTAAACATGGGGGACGTTCAAAAAATGTAAGCAACAAATTTGACCCCTTGAAATGTGTTTTTAATTTTCTTGTTTTTTTTTTTTAATGCAATCGGACATTTTGTACGCCCCCCTGCGTTTTCTAAGAAAATAAATGAAATCCCGTAAAGAGTGAGGGACCTACTAAAATGAAATCTTGCAAATAGAACGCAGTTAGAAAAATAAATGCTTGCTGACATTTACCAGGCCCCCCTCCCTCAAAAACGTCTAAATTGTGTCTTGCAATTTGGGTACGATGGGTACGTCCCACCCCTTAAAAGGGTAGTGATGGTAAGACACGAATCAGGATTTGAACCCTTTCAATTTTGCCATTATATAGAATGGGCTAGCGCCCGGGTGCCGCCGACCCCCCCTATTTGGGGGGTCCTGCAGAGAGAGGGAGAGAGATAGATATGGATGGATGGATGGATGGATGGATAGATAGGTAGAGAGATAGAGAGAGAGAGAGATAGACAGATAGATAGATAGACAGTTGGATAGACAGATAAGTAGATGGAGAGATAGATGGATAGATAGCTGGATGGATAGATAGATAGATGGATAGATAGATAGAGAGGGAGAGATAGATAGAGGGGGAGAGAAAGATAGAGAGGGAGAGATAGATAGATAGGGAGAGATAGATACTCCGACGGCATCCGACGGCATCAGCGGTTCAGTGGGTCAGTGGCGCGTCGCTTCCGGCGGGCCGTGCTGAGGTCGATGGTGGTACATGGTGGGACAGACATGGACATATATGTTTTGATATGCCCCAACATGCCGCAATTCAATCACAAGGTGCAATGTGTATGCAATGAGTATGACGCTACAAATTTGAAGTCAGACCTCAGTTCATATTTTTAAGCATATTTGGCCTCCTATCATTGTATGATTGGTGGTAGAGTATCATTGATTTTGAAACTCAGGGATAATCAAGGGTACTGATCTCCGGAAGCTGCTGAGCTTGCTGCGCCAGGGCCACGAGTTGTGGCGCCTCATCATCGCCTTTTGCGGGCTGGCAAACGGCAGGCTTGAACCACCATAAAAGGACAATGCCGGGGCTGGCAAATGGCATGGGAGCTGCAGGGAAGCATTTGGGGGGTTTTTGGCAAACGGCAGGCTTGAACCACCATAAAAGGACAATGCCGGGGCTGGCAAACGGCATGGGAGCTGCAGGGTTGAGGCCTGGCAAACGGCAGCCTTGAACGCCTATAAGAAGCCATTGCTGCGGCCGGAAGGTGCCCTTGAGCCATTGCTGTGGGCTTGTGGTGGCTTTTGCGTGCGGGAGTGGCGCGTGTTGGGCTTGTTGGGGTACCTTGTCCCTGCGGAGCTATGCGAACTTTTGGAGCGTTTGGAGGGTTTTGG